CACACACACACAGAGAGAGAGAGAGAGAGAGATGGATTTTTCTTTTTTGGAGTCACTGAGAGTGAGTGGGCAGCTATATAAATTCTGTTCAATAACCAAACAAATATCACTCAAAAGCATGGGCAGAGAGAAAGGTTTGGGGTCTTTGCTTATAGATTCAGAGTGGGAGTGAAGTCCGTGAGAATGCAGAATTCCAAGTGTGGCCTTACCAGGGCATTATAAAGTGGTATTAACACTTCACGTGATCTTGATTCTATCCCTCTGTTTATGCAGCCTAGAACTGTGTTGGCTTTTTTGGCAGCTGCAGCACACTCCCAAACAGACCTTTTAAACAAACCTTTTTTCTGAGTGTTTGGTCCACGCAGAGACTCTACCCTCCTTGTTTGGGTCATACGAATCAGATGCCAAGAACTGTACGGAATACAGGAATACCTCCCAGCAAAATATTTTACCTTGTTTCCTTAATTACCACCCGTGTGTCCTATTTCTTTTTCAACCTACTTCCTCCTGGTGTTCTGCTGATTTCTCTGCAGGTGTTGTTTTTCATTACCGGCCATCCACCAACAGATATTCCCTGACTTTTGTTGAAGCTCAGCAAGCTTGCCTAAACAATCACGCTGTTATTGCTACTCCAGAACAACTACAGGCTGCCTATGAAGAAGGGTATGAGCAGTGTGATGCTGGCTGGCTGAACGACCAGACAGTCAGGTAAGGCTCTGGGCTGATGCCGAAGGAAGGAATGTACCCTAAAGAGGGATTTTCCTGTCTACAGATCAGATTTTCCTGTTTACTTTAATCAGCTTCTGGGGATTCCCATTAAACAGCATTACCACTAATTTCTATAGATTCTGGATGCCAAGGAAAAAATCCCCATATTATCTATCTAGTTCCAAGAATAGAGATGCAGGAATATATAGGATTCTGTCCCAAAGATGCTTTTACAAGAGGCAACTGGACTTTCTTGTTTTTCTTTGAAGACGTTTTGCTTCTCATCCCAGAAGCTTCTTCTGAGCCGAAGAAGCTTCTTGGATGAGAAGCAAAACGGATATCTACGAGACCGTCTTCTGCCGCATGCCTCCCTAAGACCGATAAGATCGCACAGGGTGGGCCTTCTCCGGGTGCCATCAGCTGGACAATGCCGGCTGGCGATGCCTCGGAGTAGGGCCTTCTCTGTTGCCGCTCCGGCCCTATGGAGTGAGCTACCCCCAGAGATCCGGACCCTACCCACTCTCATGGCCTTCCGCAAAGCCATTAAAACCTGGCTTTCCCGGCAGGCCTGGGGCTGTTGACCTCTTGATTGAGGTCCAGCCCCACTTAGACTAGGTGCATGTTGTGTTTCTTTTAATTTGTTGTGTCTTATCTGTTTTTAACCCTTTTTAATATTTCTTATTTCTGTAAGCCGCCCGGAGTCCTCTGGGATTGGGCGGCCTATAAATTCAATAAATGGAAATGGA